TGTAGGGAGTAATGCCAGTGTTACAAGTTCTTCAGATATTTGTTCAGGACTCTTATATTCTTCACCATCATCAATCTCATCTTCTTTGGGCAGTTCTGCTAACTCTTCACCTTCTTTAGGAGGTAAGTGAGATGCATCTGCAGCTGTTGATGGTAAGCCCACAATACTAGCCTCAAAGTCTTGCGGTAGTGGACGAAGAGACAAGTGATGATAACATCCCTGGTTAGACCAAAGATAAACACCCAGCTTATCTGCATGTATGGTAGCTAAGAAATCACCAACTGGAGACATGGCCAGAGAAGTTGCTGGAATTGGCAGTGAAAAGCAATCCACACAAGCACTTGATGGAATGTCCCATGTCCTCACAGTCTTATCAAGTGATGAGCTAATCAACCATCTTGAATCATGACTGAATGAAACATCTGACACTTGATTCCTGTGTCCATATAACCTACGAACTACAGTCTGTGTATCTACATCAACAATGTGTATGCTCCAGTCTTCCATGGCAATTGCTAAGAGTCCAGAATCTCGCTGCAACACCATTCTTGTTATGCATTCTTCTAATGCTAGTGTATGGACTTCTTCACACGTACTTAACTTCCACCACTTTAGCTCTCCATTTTCACCTCCAGATACCACAAACTTATTTAGCCCATCTGCCACAACATCTCTAACCCCATCTTCATGAGCAATAGGTGTACCAAAGGTTCCTCTGTATATTCCAGACTGTATATTATATTTATCTAAATGACCAGAATCATAGCCAATTATTACAAAATTCCCACAAATACTAAGTTCCACACATGTCCCAGTTACACGACGTATGGTCTTGTCCTTAAAGCGTTCATGCATCAACTTGTGCTCTCCCATTTTCTGTTTGTCTACTGACCATGTTGTAACAATTGGTGTGCCACGGTGAACTGCTGCAAGACTGTCCCAACTCTTTTCTCTTGTTGTTTCTGATGTAAATTTAGTAATTGGGGGCATTTTCAAGGCTTCTGATGATGCCTTACTCCTCTTTGATGCTTTGCGATTGTAGGAAGCCTGTCCCAAACTACTACTTAAAACATTATTGATCTTGTGGAAAATTCTCATGGAGGAATCTTCACCAGCAGTAATAATTTTACCTCCAAAACTTCCATGGAATCTGATTGAAAGAGGTGGTGCTGAGTGACCATCCCTAAACTTGAGTAATCGTCCTCCTCTATCCAGCATATCAAATATCCATATCTTGACAGTATTATCCCTTGAATTTGTGACCATCAAGGGCTCATTTGGAAAGCATGCAATGCCAGCAACTGCACTGTCATGAGCATTACGTATCTGTGAGGCCAGTTTTCTCTCTTGTAAGTCCCACTGTGCAATGTGCCCCATTTCACTTCCTGTTATCATCACAGGAAATCCATCTGTTCGGAAGCTAATTCCTGTCACCCTGCCCCAGTCTTGCTTAAATTCCACAACAGTCTCATCAAATTTTAAATTATGTAGAATAATTCTGCCATTGGCCAACCCAATGCCTATCACATCTTGAGCTGGAGCCTGCTCCATCGTAACCACTTCTGAATCCCATCCTGCAAATGTGTACAGGAGCTTGCACGTCTTCAGGTTCCACAACTGCAACTGACCTTGCTTACTGCCTAACAGGATCTTATTGAGGTACGTTGCTGGGTGAACTATCGCCGAAATCTCAAAGGACTTGCTCTGAAATTCCATATCCAGGTGGAGTGACTCATCTTTGATATCCCAAACACGCAAGTTATTCAGCCTGTCAACCGATATCAAGAGGGGACCGAACGGCAGCATGAGATGAACATCAGCTTGGTGGCCAACATACTTATGTTTGATCTCCGTGCCACGACGCCAGGCATATATCACCTTGTCACAAGACGTGTAGATGTGGTAGGCATCGGCACTGAGAGCTACTATGGGGCTCGGGTGAGGGTTACTTACAGTCAAAAGTACGAGCTTGTTACCGCTGTACGTATGGAAGGAATTCCCCACGGCCGTCACGATCAGATTTTCCTTTCTTCTCTCAATATAACGAATCGCCAAAGGAATTCCATTGCTCACCAAGCCCAGGGCTCTGTAGGGCGTGAAGATTCTACTTCCTTCTGACATTGTGGATGATAATATTGGTAATATGTCACATGAAGGAAGTTTGAGGAGGGAGGCCGCTGTAAACACGTGCGATCTCAGGTTTGTTTACAGGCTGCGTTCGAATCCCTGCATGCGGATTCTCACGGATGGGAAGCGAGACGCGGATTGGAGTTACAAAAACGAGACGACGATTACTGTAATCATAATAAATATTCATCAGTTTGTATTGTTCGTTCTGCATTATCATTTGATTCATTATTTAGTATCTTATTCTCAATTTCCATTTAATCTGCCCGAATTTAACCAAAAGCAAAATTATGAAACGATAGATCTGCCTATCCATATATCGATTTGGCTTTTTATATGCACTTATTCATACAAAAACACTACATGCACACACACACACACACACACACACACACACACACACACACACACACACACACACACACACACACACACACTCTATATATATATTATATATATATATATATATATATATATATATATATAGTATGTATGTATGTGTATGTGTGTGTGTGTGGTAACACACACACATATGCTATATATATATATATGGCGTGTGTGTGTGTGTGTGTGTGTGTGTGTGTGTGTGTGTGTGTGTGTGTGTGTGTGTGTGTGTGTGTGTGTGTGTGTGTGTGTGTGTGTGTGTGTGTGTGTGTGTGTGTGTGTGTGTGTGTGTGTGTGTGTGTGTGTGTGTGTATTTGCAGCAGGAACAACGAAAGGAAGAACAAGAAAGCACACGAATATACCGAAGGCCTTTTCGCTTTGCTGCTTCATACACACACACACACACACACACACACACACACACACACACACACACACACACACACACACACACACACACACACACACACACACACACACACACACACACACACACACACACACACACTAAAGCACGCACGCACGCACGTACACGCACACTTACATATGTGTATATATTTCATATTTTAATACGGCTATGTACATAGTTTATGTGCATGTTTATATGCTATATATGTATATGTATATATGTATACTGCATGTGTTCGCATACATTTCTTCTGTGTATTATATATTCTTTTTCATTAATTGTTCACTATTTGGCAATGCTTCTCCCTACACCATAGGCATTCTTTGTAGGATAAAGTGCGCACATTTTTAAAACTTTCCTTCAAACTGCACCATCTCTGAAAGGAATATGTATATGCAAATGATACAAAAAAGTAAGTAGCTAAACGTCTCCATAAAGAATAAAACCGCGAGACTTTTGGAAATAATTTTGAAAATGACGTCAACGCTTGAATTCCCACCTGTGGCCGGAAGCTGTCACGGAATTTGCCAAGGGAAAGTGAGTCAGACACAGATGACACGTACGGTTCTGTTGTCTATCATTTTAACGGGATGCCAATTCTAATAAGATACATCTGCAACAAGTCATTAAAATGCATGATATAACTGAGGAAGGCTTGTGCGTGCCGATGATTTGTTAACCATTCTCTGTGTTGGAATCAAAGAAAACTTATATTTTATGGGTAACTGTGCTATATTCAAAACTTAATAACACTATATTTTCGCAATGAATAATTGAGATTACATTACAATTCCACGTATAAAAGACTCTTTGGAACAAAAAACAATATTTCCGAATTATATTTCCACTTGCTCAAAGAGAAACCTTTTCAATTTGATGAAAAATATCGATTATTGCACAGTCTATTTTCCAAGATGTGTATTATACCATTAAAAAATACAAAGATAATGCATGCGACATTTGTGGCATATTAAATGTAGGATTCATAACATTAGTATCTATAAAGTAGAATGTTAAGAGTAATCTAACAATTTTCATGATAAAATGAAATACGTGTCATAATAGTGGAAGAGGTCTGTATATATTTTAATTCCTTATTGACATAAATGTATTCTTGTAGAGTATTGCTTCATGCAGTACCAACATCCCCATTGCAAATTACAAAAACAAATTGTGATATAATCTAGTTGAATGAAAATAAGGCACAAATATCAGGTATCCCGTTACAAAACCCTCAATATATATAAAAAAGAAATGCATTTTCAAAATGAACTAGAAAACAATATTACATGTTGCAGTTCATCAAAAAGAATTATATAATAATCTGTGGTGTATGCTAAACACGGTGTAGCAATTCCTGGTCCTTCGCAAAGCTTTCATTGCACTCATTATAGATTCTCCGTTCTGTTCTAACTAGAGCATAGCAGTCCTTATAAAGTCTCAATTCCATCCCAGAGAATGAACATGATTATTTGCATAATATTCAGTTCGTTTCGAAGGGTGCACAGCAATCACCATATAGTCCTTGGTGAATTCCAAAAAGCATCCTGCCGGAATCCTAGCTGAAGTCGCGCCTCTTGACCCATATCTGTCTCTCCAGAATCCCTATTAGCGTCCAAAAGCGTCCTAAAGGATTCTTAGCTAGAGTCGCATCCCTCAGCCTACACACCAATCATCCCAGAGTCACATCAGTCGCCACAGAGTCCCCAGAGGCATCCTACAGGAGTCCTGGTCGCGGCGCGCCCCTCGGCCCATCCGAAGCTCCCGCCGCGACGCCGCACCGCCATCTCGCTCGTCCATTCAGTCGTGCTCTGGCGGATGACGGGCGAGAAGCGCTAGCTCGTGCACAGGCCCTGCGACCCCCTCTAACCACACATTTCCTTCACGATGGAGCCCTTCGAAGTCATTGTGAATCAGCCGGTCGTCATTGACAATGTGAGTGGCAGGGTTGGAGGGCGAGGAAGGGGTTGGAATGAGGAGAAATGGGGTGAAAATGAGCATGAGATGGAGGGGGGTGGGCCGGGGCGCGCCTGTCAAATGATCTCTTCTGCTCGATGACTCATCCTGCCTCTCATGTTTATTCGTAATTGTTCGGCTTATTGCGTCTTCCTTGGGGCTTCTTTAGACCCTGCATTGGACTCGGGTCGTGAGGTTTTGGGGTTGTGGCAGGAGGGTTATCGATCTCTGGGCCTGTGAGGTTGTGAGGGCTTTGGGGAGGTTGAGGAACCGAACCTCATATGGAACGCCTTTATTACAGGTCTTCTGCGGAAATAAAGGTCCTTTTGGTTGTTTTTAGGATGAACCTCTTTCGCATTTTGTTTTAGGGTTGTGGGTTCGTCGTGTTATACGGTGTGGAGCCTAAAATTAAGAATATTTTTTTTGTAATTTGCCTCAATGTTGTTGGTGTTTACCAAGGCGTGAGGTAGGGTCCAGGTGAAACTGTTTTTGTTTTTGTTTTTTTATGCATTTTTTCTTCAGTAGTGGTTAATCGTCATAGTAATTGTGGAGAACAAAATTGAATTATTTATTATTGTGAAATCATAATATCAAATAATTAGAGCATATCAAGGGATAGTTGTCACAATGGCTGCCACCTTGTACTGTTATTAGTAATTTTTTCACGTTTATTAGCCTAAAGGTGTCCATTTATTGTATTCCAAAATTATTATTTTTGTTCGTAACACTGCCAGTTGAGTTATTATGATTACTTTTATTTTTATTTTTGATAATTCTCGAAAACAGAACTACATGCCATAGCCTTTGTACTCCGGAAAAGGGAAACAAACGTCCGCCATGTATATTCTAGCAAGAAAGAGTTAGGCTTGGTTGCTTATTTGACGATGATATGTTAGAATTCAATTAGCCAGGATGTATATAATGAAGGATTGTTTACTATTGCTGGAGCATGAAGAACTGAGCTTATGGTATTGCTTCATGCGTAGATTCATGGGTTTTGTGAAGTGATTATGGAATTATCATTATCTAGCCTAGAATGATTTTTAACCATATTAGTATTTTATGTATTTTTTATGACTAGTATTCCTATTTTTGTGTGGTTTTATTCTGGACGATTAAAACAGCTGATAATGTTATATTTATTTTGGTATGTGTTGCCAAGGGTGATGTACTCTCTAGAGACAAAATTCCAAAAACAGGGTATCTTGTGAACCAAAAACCCAAACCCAAGCTCTCCTACCTTATATTTATTCTCTAGATGGGGGCAGCATACCCCCCTGCACTCCCCTGTACTCTCCTTTATTAGCATTTATGCCAACTTATAGAAAATGGGCATAAGGATTCTGGCTATTTGAGGGTGTTGTGGACTGAGTTTAGATATTCAAGAGATATTTTCATCAATTTGCAGTAAATGTGAGGCCGCAGCAGCTGCACCTGATTATTTTTTATGCTCTATTAGATGGCGGTGTCCATTTCCCTTTATCTCTGTGCGTCGCTCTTTGCAAGATTAACCATTATTTTTATATATATGTATAACTAAAACCTTTGAGATAACAAATCGAAAAAGGTAAACATTGCATGGAAATAGTAAGACCAAGGAGTCTTTGGGACTATGACATCATGCTTTTATTTGAAAATAAGAAATTTTAATAATTCAAGATATCAATATGAAATATAGAAAACAGAGTATATGAAAGTAATTCAAGATATAGAAAATAGGAAATGTATATATTTTCTATTTTCTTTACTTATATCAGTTAATCTTAATGGTATGGACTCACTAAGTTCTGGCAAATTGAATATATTCTTGTAGAGGACAAAAAGTTTTAGTCGGCTGTACAAAAAATAATCTGCAGACATGAACGGTAACACCACATACAAAGGTAAAAGATCACGGAAAGCGCTGCTCCCAAGTTTCAGCTCTGTCTTGCCGTGCATACCGAGGTGAAGACAATATTTCCTGGGGGATGCTAGGAGGCAAAGCCCCCTCTATCAACCTTTCCCTCGGTATGCCTAATCATGGCAACTTATATTGATAAATAAATTTTTTGACATGGAATTGGGGACAGTCTGTGGCAAGTATGCCCATACTGTAAAGAATTACCCTTATATCCTTTACAACAGACACTCTTAAGGTTCATTTCTTTAGATCAATAGCGGAAGAGGTTTAGTGGCTGGGCTGTAGCAGTAAAAGCTTATAGGCTTTGGCAATTGCTTCAGATATATATATCATTAGGCTCATTCCTAGTTGGTGGTTATATGTCCTTGTAGAAGATGGCAAAGCAACATTCCGAGTATTATACCTATTTCATAGGCATATATAAAACTTGATCATCATTATTAACATTATCATTATCTTTAGTATTTAAACATTATCAGTATTGTAACTAGTGCTGTTATTATCATTGCTTATGCCATGTCAGAGTAATGAAATGTTTGTCATAAATAGCCTGCCCTACAGATGTCAAATTGGAGAATAGCCAACCCTGCACTGCTGTTAGATCAACTAGTAGGGGTTAAAGCAACTTCAAGTAGTTTTATTTTCAGTTCTCTAACATTACAATAAAGCAAAAATGTCTTCAGATTCATCTATAATATTTTTTGTACTATATATATCCAAAATTGGTTACATTTCTTTCATTAGACATGCTGCCGATACTATAAAGCTTAGAAAGCACTACGGTCCATGCTGAATTGCTATCAGGCTATGACAATATGGAAATAAACTTGGCAGAGCTTTTACTGGCAGATCTACATTTTGCAGTGATGATGCATGTAAATATCAACTACTGGTGCAGGATCAACATTTTCCCAACTAACAAAGTAGAAATGAATAAGCCTTTATTAACCAAGATACACTATGTTGTTCTCCCTTTCTGGAACCTATCATATTTGTCATGAAGAGTATATTTTGCACTTATTTCTACTGTGCTCACAATTTGCATGTACTGTTGCTAATTTTGCAACTTTGATTATATTTCACAGCATCATTTACATACAAAAAAGCTTTATTACATGTAAAACATGTGCATATTCTAGCTTGCTGACATTATCACTTTGTAAACAAACCTTTGCACGACAAAGATGCCACCTCCCCAGACTGTAGTATCTGTAGTGGCTACAGTATTTGGGCTACTCTGCCATTCAGCAGAATCAGTATTTGGCTATAGTGGCTACAGTATTTGGGCTACTCTGCCATTCAGCAGAAAAAGTAACACTTTTTATAATGTTAGTAATTATACTTTTACTATTTTTCTGCCATTCATAAATTGATGATGAGTCTTACTGTTGAGTTTATTTTATATAATCTGAAATAATTGTATGACTGTAAGCTTTAACATGAAATTAATATTATGAATCTGCCTCCCAATTTGCAGTCTTAATAGGAAGGGAATATGTTTTTGATAAAGAAGCACCAAAAGTTTTCAAAATAATGCATGAAGTTCAGACTGAGTTTTCATTGGTGTATAAGTTGCCTTTAGGAATGTAAACTGGGTGCAGCAGTGACTTCTGTTTGGACATTTCTGATGCTTGTGTTTACTTTTGTATTTCTGTGTATGTTTTTTTTCTTTAAGGTTTATTAATATATATATCTGTGATATATATATACCCACTATATACTTATTTGTGTGCAGATTATTTATATAAATTGTTTTATTGTCAGACTTCTCAAGTATGTTTGAAGGTCTATTTGTTTAAAAGTGGATGTATTTCTACTCATATAACAATTCTCTTACGAACTGGCCATTGTTAATCCAATGATAGTGGCAGAAAATAGGTTAACTATGACAGTGATGTGGGATTTAGTGCATTTCATCAATATATCCCTTTGTGCTCTGCTCACTGAGTACTTAAGCCACCACTTTGGGCTCTTAATCATTCTCATATGGTGTTTGTAATCAAATCTTTGAAAATCTTAATATTTCCTTTCACTTTAGCATTCTAATTGTGATTCCAAACAAGTTATATCACTACTATTGGGGAAAGACAAGCTACCTATGACAAACAAATGATGTAGCCTATATTATGATGTGCATTCCTTGATTCAGGCCAGTGCAGGTATTGCATGTTACTATGCCATCTGCAACTAGTAAATTAAGGACATACACACAGTGGCATTCAAAACAAAACAAAAAAAATCTTATGATTAACCACTTATTGCTGGGGATGGCATGTACGTACATGCCATGCCCACTGTCTGTTTAATTTAGTAATTGTTTTTACATAAAAGTACTAAGACACCAATTAGTCTGTTACGAGAACTACCTCTCTCACCTGTTTACCCCTTTCCTTGATTTTCAATAATATTTTTTAGTATCTAATACTGCTGTTAGTAATGTCAATAACAATATAGTAATTATAATGTTTATAACAAAAATAAGTGTTCATATTGATAGCATTAGTAAAAAAGAATAAAAAAACATTGCAGAAACATTTAACAAAACAATAAGAAAGTGAATGAAACATTTTCCCATTGGCATTAGGTTAAACTGGTTGTGTTTTTTCCAAATTGACTGGAAACTTCCAGTCCTGTGCTTTACAGTGGAAAGCCTACTGTCTAACCCAGTAAAGGTACTGTTTAAATTGATTGCCATGATCTCTGCTTCATTTTCTGGCAAAAACCAAGAAACTACCGCTACTATATTTTGTCAAGGTAGAACTTTGCCTGGTTTCTTACTTGCTGAGAAATCACCAGGGAGATGTACAAGCATCATTTTGCCAGCATTAAGAAGATGAAGATTTTGTTAGACATGGTTGGAACACAGAGGCATGGAAGCCGCATGTAGGCCTGTTGTGGATGTGCAGGTGTATAAGGAACATAATCTTATGTTATGCGACATGTTTAACTTCAGACCAGCATCTTCAGAGTGTCTCAGTACCTTACTTAGTACCGCCTTACCCTTTCTACCACACAACCAAGAAGTAGGTAATGGGTGGAACATGCCTCATATATACAATAAAGGAGTATCGTAAACATTTGCTTTGGCCAATCAAAATCATCATCATTATCTTCTTTTCATTTGGATAACAGCATAGTCCATATGATGAAAGTAATCCTAAAATCACTGATAGTGAAAATTAAATGGATAATGATAATAACAATATTCATCATCAGTATAATAATGATGAAAATATAGTAAGATAATGATAGTAACAGTGATAGATAATGATGATTATGGTAATGATAATGAGTATGAACTTTGTAATGATAATGATAATAGCAGTGATAATGATTATGATAATAACAAAAAGATATCAAAGGTAGCAGTAATGATGATCGATAGTAATTATAGTTATTATTATTTCATTTTACTTTTTCATGATACAAGGAATTGAGATCCAATAGGCCTAGTAATTTATCCCCATAGGACTTATGGAGCCATCTATATGTAAACAAAATTATTAAAACAAAATGTGAAGGGGATAATTCTCATTTGGGTATTGTATAAAGATTATCAGAATTATGTATTTAGATCGGCAAGTAGAAATAGATACAGGATGGCATGATTTATCTTTTGCAGCTGTATTAGTTATGAAGTTCTGCTGCTTTATCACTGATGGCTCCTCTTTTTTATCATCTGCAGAGAACTTGAAATCTCAATTTGTGTTCTTTACTTTATTGATAGGAATACAATATATTGGATACTGGGGAAGATAAAAAGGTGGATTGCTAAAAGGTTGAATTAATTCAATTAGGTCAAATGTCAAAGTAGACTGCATAAAGATACATTTTCACCAAAACACTCCTACTCCATGTTTGTGTTCTGACTAATTGATGAGAATGACTTGCCTAACATGTGCAGCCTGTTTGTGAAAGATGAAATGAGTCTTAAAGTTGAAGCATTTTAGTAGGATTTTATTTGATGGTGCATCAGTACTTATATGATGATATTCAGTCTAATATTTATAATAATTTATGAATACTTTGAGAATACCTGGAAGTATAATTCATTCTGTTTTAAAGACACCAGAGATCCCATGGAAAAGGGTGATTGCCCCTTAGATAGTGGGTAGCATGATTTTATGTCCCAGTAGAAAGGGTGGAGGGCGTAATATTATGTCCAAGACTCTGCCAGGTGGAATTTTCCCCGCCTGCCTGCTTCCCAGCTCTGTCCGTTCCTGCTGCTTAGGGGTTGAAACAAGAACCTCATTCATTTTGATAAGGGGCTTTGCTGCTTTAAAAAAATTGGGACATGTAAGGGAGCATCTCTAATCATGTATATTTTTCATATTGTAAGGGTATAAGGAAAAGTTTTTGTCATTTTTTTTATATTCTCCTGTATGTGTATGTCCTTGCACCCTTTTTTGAGGTTTCCTGCTACTTCCAGGTTATTTCTGTAAAGGTATTCCACTGGTAAATAAACTTATTGTAGTTTCAAGGTTTTTCTTTCTTTTTATTAAAGCCTATTATGAATATTCATTATCTTGTTAGGTAGACTAATTATTCTGTCTGCAATTGTCTGATCCTTGGTTGTCTATATATTTCATCTTTTTAATAGAAATTCTGTTATAATGAGTGAATTTTTATATAAATCACAAGTGTTTCTCTTTTGCCTCCTTGAGGATTTGTCAATGAATGGTGTGTGTGTGTGTGTGTGTAAATTTGATAAACTGACTCCTATATTTTTTCAGGGCTCGGGTATCATCAAAGCAGGTTTTGCCGGTGACCACACTCCAAAGTGCCACTTCCCAAATTAGTGAGTAAAGAATAATAGTACATGTTGTTAGATTGATGTTGATATTTTTGCTTTGTTCACCTTTCATATGACATGAAAGATATGTAGTGGTTGTTTGTAATAGTAATTAGTAGTTATAAATACTAATTAATAACCTGTTCAGTGAATATTTCTATTACATGGGTTCAGAATTATGGTGTAAAATATTTAGAGAAATAAGTTTCTATTACATTGATATTAGTTTGTTTCTTTTTGATGAGGTATTGATTTTGTAATGATAAGATATGAATTGAGTTATCTAGAATAACCCCATTCAGTTTAAGATAAGGAAAGGTCTGTGAAAAGGAGTTGCTTATGATTTTTCTTTATGCAGTTACAGATTTGAAATCACTTGATAAATATTTTGCTCATAAATGTGCAAATTAACAATTTACTGAAATAGATAAACACATATATGCATGCAAAATGCAGATATTTATTTCTGTAAAAATACTTTGCTACTTAAAAATATATTGAATTACCTAAGTTGTTTTTTTGTTATTACTTTTGTCATCATATGTAAAGAAGATAATTTATATCCTCTTAACTACAAGTGCAAACATCAGGTGACTGAGTTATGCTGCTTGGATGTAAATTGTCAGTTTATAATGTGTATTCTTCTGTTGAAGAGGGGAAGTAAGCAAGTAAGACCAGTTGATCAAAAAAAGAAAAAAAGAAAACAAAAAAGAGAGACTGTAAATCACCATCACTTTGTATAGTATTTAGCAAAAATATCCGACACAAACAAAGAAGAAAATAGTGAAAATCATGCATTGACAAGAAACTGTGAAATTCCAGTGAGTAATAAAGGATATTAATTATAAAAAGAACAGTGTTGGTTGATTGTTAGGTGACACCACATAGTAGGTAGCAGGTGGTTGCTGCACTGGTGTCGTGTGTCGCTTAGGCACACCTGTTGACGTAATTTGTTTCTGATGCTTTTCATTCCAGTTATTGGCTTGATCTTTAGTTCTTGAGTATGATCTACTTTGAATGTTTGTATTGTCAGTAGGTGGAAGACGTTACTTAATCAGTCATGGCATACACTATATTGTCATGAGAATGTCATTGTATTTTCTCTTTAAAGATTTTTAAGCAGTTATTGCTCATGCAATGATACTGATATTGATAAATACTAGAGAAGTGAAGTTCTGGGTTTACAATGTTTTTCTTAATCTTTACATTATAGATTTTTAATTCTTCCATGATAGTTATGAAAGATACATGAAGGATGTAAGAATTAACTTCAGTCATTATGAAACATTACATGTAATGAAACCAAGATTTGATATATAGGTATAGAAATAAACTCATATGTGGTAGTCTATGTACTTTTAAGATGAGCTACCAGTAGTGATATTAGTTACAAATGTTAATAGGGGAAAAGATGACCAAATGTTGCATTAGAAGAAGCATTTTGCCAAGGATATGGATATTGTAATTGTTTATTTTTAATGATAGGATTATTATAGCAAATTTTAACCACGTGTTTGCATTCTAGTTATAAGAGTAAAGTCACTTCACTCACTCACTTCACTCACTCACTCACTCACTCACTCACTCACCTCTCTCACTCTCTCACTCTCTTCTCTCTCTCTCTCTCTCTCTCTCTCTCTCTCTCTCTCTCTCACTCTCTCTCTCTCTCTCACTCTCTCACTCTCTCACTCACTCTCACTCTCTCTTCTCTCATCTTCTCTCTCTCTCTCTCTCTCATCGCTCTTTCCTCTCATCTCTCTCTCTCTCTTCTGTCTCTCTCTCCTCTCTCTCTCTCTCTTCTTCTCTCTTCCTCTCTCTCCTCTCATCTCTCTTCTCTCCTCTCTCTCTCTCACTCTCTCTCTCTCTCTCCTTCCTTAATTTATTTGCATTGTCGCCATTACTTCCTTATATTATTTTTTCTCTTTCTCATCTTCCCTTTTCCTCCTCTTCCTGCTCATGTGCTCTCTTCTTTCTTTCCCCTTCCTTCACATACTCTTCCTTTTTTTCTTTTGCTCCAATGCTCCTATACTCCTCTCATCTTTTGCTTTCTCTTTCTCTCTCTCTTCCTCCTTTTTTTTTCTTCTTGCTTCTCAACATCTGTTTTTTTTATTATTATTATTATTATTATTGAAACATTCAAGATAGATATGAAGTGGTGGCTGAGACCAGTGTTATATTTCTATTATTTCTGTTTATAAGAAACTATAAATCACAGATATCTTGAGTTGCAATGTGTTTTCTGAATGGAGGACTTGATGTTGCATGCTTCGTTTCTGGTATTTGTACTGTGACAGCAGTGGGCCGCGGCCGGTGGGCAGACAGAGTCTGGGGCAGCTCCGCTCGCCGATTTTGTAGCCGCCCGGAATCTTTTATTTTCGGCTCCAAAATATACCCGTGTTAATGGGTTAAATCTACAAGCTGATACTTTATATTTCTGTTTGACAGTGTTGGCAGACCAAAATATGAAAGAGTGATGGTGGGAGCCCTAGAAGGAGACTATTTTGTTGGCCCTAAAGCTCAAGAACACCGTGGTCTCTTAGCTATTAGGTGAGTATGATTTACTAATAATGACATATTTTGATTTATAAAGAGGAAGTGGCATGTAGTTGAATATAATTTCTTGACATAAAGTTTTGAATCTTTCTTTAGTCGTTAAACGTCTGACTCTTGTTGTATAAAATACTCCTTTGACAGCTACCCAATGGAACATGGCATTGTCACAGACTGGAATGATATGGAGCGCATATGGCAGTACATTTATAGCAAAGACCAGCTTCAGACCTTTTCCGAAGAGGTAATTGTTCCTGATAATATGGTGCTGTTGCATAAGCACTTTTGAAATGGAATTACATTTTATGTTTGCAATTATGTCCTTACTGATTTGGCTGATTAAGAATAGATTCAAGTATTGACCCATGCTTTCCTTGCAGCATCCTGTACTACTAACAGAAGCTCCCCTTAATCCACGAAAGAATAGAGACAAGGCAGCAGAAATATTTTTTGAAGCTTTCAGTGTTCCAGCACTCTTTGTTTCAATCCAGGCAGTTCTTAGCCTGTAAGTATACAAGTTATTAATTTTTTTAACTCGTTGGTTCTGGTTGCATCGCATAAATCACTGTGCCGAAAACATGGGAATTGAGTTATGTAAGTAGCTAACATCGTGGGATGCGGCACATAGGTCAGGATTGCGTGAGCTCCCATGAGCGGTGACAAAACTCTGTTCCCTACCGTTTGCAAAGTTACTTTGTGTAAACTTTTAAAAGTTTTTTTGCCATTTTCTAATGTCCATATTTGTCTTTTGATTTGCTTTATCCAGATGGAAATGGCTTATTTTCCTTCCACAGACTCCATAGCATATTTATGTAGTAAATAACATAGTGCAAGAAAACTGAAATAGGGAACATTTGGTTGTGCGTTTCTTATTTTTTCATAATTTTCAATTTTCCTTAAAATCTGCGCCACCGGTCACAGTAGTCAGGAATACGGTACACAGCACGGAAATGGTGTCCTCCCGGGAGCCAGCATTCTTTCGGTTATCGCTTATGCATGTTATATTCTTTTATTTGCTTTATCCAGATGGAAATGGCTTATTTTCCTTCCACAGACTCCATAGCATATTTATGTAGTAAATAACATAGTGCAAGAAAAATGAAATAAGGAACATTTGGTTGTGTTTATTTTTTCATAATTTTCAATTTTCCTTTATAAAATCTGCGCCACCGGTAACAGTAGTCAGGAATACGGTACACAGCACGGAAATGGTATCCTCGCGGGAGCCGGCATTCTTTCTGTTATCGCTAATGCATGTTATATTCCACATTCGTTTATCGATGGTAATAATGCTAAAGCCCCCTTCTAAGTACCAAATGGGTCAAATCCCATTCCAAGAGGTTTGTGCACTCATGGTGAATCTTTTCCATCACCCTAGCCTTCGCTCATGATGGCAAGATCACGTCACCCGGCCTGAGGCCATTTTAACTGATGACAGCATGTTCATGTCACCTGGCCCTTAATCCAGATTTTTCCATGACTGGACCTTAACATCATCTGGATCATACGGGTTAATTCAAAATGTGTCATTTTGATATTCAAGATCAGTTGAAGCTGATTTTAAAACTGAGTATAAGTAAAAGGTCATTTTAGATTAGATTAACCCCATCGATTCGGATGTCATGACCATCACATCATGAAAATATTTGCCTTTAGGGGTGGGTGATATGAACATGGCATCATGGGAAAATCTGGCTGCAGGCCGGGTGATGTGAAATTGCATCATGAGTGTTTCTGCTGAAGGCCAGGGTGACAGAAAAGACTCATAAAGACAAAGCTCTTGGAGGGTGATAAGACTCTTTTGGTATTTAAAAAGGGGTTTTTGCTTTATTCCCATCAATAAATGAGTGTGGAATGTAGTGTCCGTGAGCCATGACTAAAAGAGTGGCAGCTCCATGGAGGATGCCATTTCCATGTTCAACATCCTATTCCTGGGCACAGGAATGTAATTGCTATCAGTATGTAAATGAAATACCAAAATGAACAATTTTTTTTATCATGTAAAACAATAAAGTGTGTATTTAGATGAATTTAAAAGTATCTAGGTATATATATAAAAAGGTGATGGTGATGGTGATATACCAGATGTGTCTGGCAGGGAAATGTAGGAAAAGGAAAAAGATGTAGGGTTTAGCTAAATGATATATGCCATATGGTACCAGGGTGACTACTTCACACTCATTATGTCTCATCTGCAAGAAGATAGAGACGTGAAAAGAAGACTGTATGATAAGCTCAGGCAGATATGAGTATACAAGAGTAGTAGGAGTATGGGATGATATTCTAAGGCTAAAGTAAATTTACCAAAGTACCAGATATGTTAGTGTAACACTATATACATATCATTCATAATGAAACAGTTGCATGAAAAAAATCCTTACAGTTTTGTACAACCTTTGATGATTGCGGCAAATAAGACAGATTAGCCAGTTTGGGCAAATTATACTCCAGTTGGTAACCCAATGCCGATGGGAAAATGTTGTGTTCACTTTGGTATTGTTTTGTTAAATGTGTCTGTACATAGATGGCTTTGTCAGTGCTTAGCCACAAAGGAGTCAATTAGTAGATCTTTAGACCTCACCTTTCCTTGAAACAGCGGGAAAACACTTTTTTACCAATGCTATCAGTACTGACAGTGTTATTTTTGTTATAAACATAATTACTATATCGTTGCTGCCGTTACTAACAGCAGTATTAAATGCTAGAAAATGTTAACAAAAATCAAGGAAAAGGGTAAAGAGGAGAGAAGTACTTCTTGTAACTCGCTCATTGGTGACTTAGTAATTGTGGAGCCCTCTATATGAAAAATGTTTTTATGTACATGTACTACTATAAGGCTGTTTGTAATAGCGTTTATGCTCTCTTTACAGTAAAAGATAAGTAGCTATGTTATTCAAAACCAAAAACCAAAATTCAGGCAGTCATGTCATTTGTTTTAAAATGAATTCCTGCATAGGACAGTGTCAAATGAAAATAAAAAAGGAAACAGTTAATATAAGCTTTGACATTAAGAATGATAAAGATGAGATAATACATTAATAAAATTAACTAATTTCCACAGATACGCCTCAGGAAGAACGACTGGGGTTGTGTTGGACTCTGGTGATGGAGTAACTCATGTTGTTCCAATCTACGAGGGCTTTGCTTTACCACATTCCATTATGCGAGAGGACATTGGTGGCAGAGATGTCACACGGTAAGGGCTTGTCTAATCAGGCTTATCTTTTGTTTTGTGTTTGTCTGTGATTTATCTCCTTTTACTTGCCCATAATAGCTGAGCATGGATTTGTGTCATTTATTATGTGATATCGTTTTCAAATGGTGATTAGAGTTTTACAGCAGACAAGCATACAGGATTTTTTTTTTTTTTTTTTTTTTTTTTTTTCTTCCTTTTCTTCTTTCCCTCCTCCTCCTCCTCCTCCTCCTCCTCCTCCTCCTCCTCCTCCTCCTCCTCCCAAAATGTGTCACATGTCCTAGCACTTGTGGGTCTCTTACTTCAGCACTTGTAGTAATAGGTGTTTGATGAACCTACAGGTACCTAAAACTTCTGCTACGAAAGGAAGGGCTGAATCTATATTCTTCAGCTGAATTCGAAATTGTTAAAATGATGAAGGAACGAGTATGTTACCTGGCCTCAAATCCACAACGGGAGGAAACTGTCGATACTGAGCGACTTTCGTATGTTCTACCCAACGGGGCAACAGTCGAAGTGAGTGTGCAACCAAAATATTTCCTTTTAGAACTTTTAAGGTGAAATGATATGAATAGGAATATACTATTTTGAAAAAAACTGTAATAAATAGTAATGATAAGATATATATATATATTTTTTTTCCTTCCATCTTTTACATGTCCCTCATCCATTTTTGTCATTGATTTTACATTTTGATGAAAGGGAAAACAGCTTAGAATATTCCAAAATATTTTTTTTCTACCAGGTTGGCCAGGCCCGATTCAGAGCACCTGAGGTCCTCTTCCGACCAGACCTCATCGGAGACGAGAGTGTAGGCATCCATGAAGCCCTTATTTGTGCAATTCATAAATCTGACATGGATCTCCGAAAACAGCTTTACCAAAATATTGTCATCTCTGGAGGATCAACCTTGTTCAAAGGATTTGGCGACCGACTTCTCTCTGAAGTGAAGAAACTAGCTCCAAAGGACATCAAGATTAGGGTATGTTATTTTGCATATTTGATTTGGTAGATTTGAGATTTCCACTGAGAGAGAAAGTGTTGGTGAGGTAGTTTAAGGGAATTGAGTTTAGAAGCAGTCTGACACAATAGTGAGGTTTTGAACAAGTTCTGTCATTATAACAAGGTTTGCATTCAGTCGGGAGATCAACATTGAAGGCCTCTGGCAAGAATCATTGGTAGGTGGTAACATCAAGGTTTTGATTGGTTTACATTTAGTAGTCACTTCTGAGTCAGGGGTAAGTGATCTACACACTTAGAAAATGAATTGGTGCAACTGAAGCAGCTTTTACCCACACCAAGCTGAGCCAAATGCAGCACTACATGATTAGAATAAAGAATAGAGTAAAAGATTAGAATAAATGCCACCTGACATGAACAAGTTAAGGCCCATGCAAGATATTTTGGTTATTTTACATGTTTTTCCTTTATAGTCTAGTTTAACAAAATTAGGTACTAGTGTTCCTGGGCCTTACAAATTACTTGGCAAGAATGTAATGTGTCCTGGAAAGTAGATGAAGATACAGTTTCAATACTTCTAGACTAGTTTTGGTTCCTGAGCCCCCTACAGACATCTTGCTTGCCATCTTCATATGTTTTGAAAAGATCAGCCATGCTAAATGATATCAAGCATAGATTCCAAATATAAACAACAGTGAAAGTAAAATATCCTATTCCATTCAGTTATATATCAAAATCTGGGGGAACAGAATGGTCATTGGTCAAAATGGGGCCAACCTGCTTATGTGTTGTGTTTATCCTTAGTTTCAAACCAACTTCACTTTGTATTTGTGGTTTCGGCTTGAATTAATGTCTTAAAAAAGATCAGTGCAATCATTAAGTATAAACTTTTGAATTTAACTGCTTCAAATAATCACAGATTTTTAGGACATCTACTACACATTTTCTGCACCTTCTAATGTCACAGTGAGGTTTGGGCAAGAGTACTAATCCTGGTCTTGTGCGTGGTTGCCAACCTTTTGAGCAGTAAAGCAGCAGTTTCAGGCTTAGAACTATGTTAATGCCCATTTGTTTATATACATACATACATACATGTATTCATGCATTCCCCATTTGTGGTGGCGGACGCCATGATGTTTGTGAGCCATGACTAGAAAAGCGCCTGCTCCAGGGAGGATGCTATTTCCATGCTCAGGATCTTATTCCTTGCCACTATGACTGACAGTGCAGGGTATATTACAGAAAATTGAATATTACAAAAACAAAGTAAAAATTAAGCAAATCCAATAACATATATGGACATTAGAAAATGGCAAAAAAGCTAAAATAAATTATGCATAAAAAAAGAAAATAACATTGGAAAGGGGAGGCATTGGGTCTTGTCACAGTACCCAAGTATTCATGTACACCCAGCCAACAAGCTTCGCACCCGTCAGAGTGGCTGATCGAGAAACTTAATGCCATTATTTTGATCCATGTAATGACAGTGAATTATCTAAATCCATTGGGTTAACTTCTTACTGATGGGCACATGTATAACCATCATGGATATCTTACAATTTTGACAGGAAACATGTATACATGTCATGATTCGCTCTAGAGAGGGAGTGGACAGTCCGGCTTACGCGGCAAATACCCCACCAGAAAGGCTAGATGGATGACATTAGTAGCCTTAATAATTGATATAAAGAAATTTATTCCCCGTGATTATAGTCAATAGCTATTGTATCTGTTGCATTATGTCCTCAGACTGAAAAGACGAAAATACTCAAATAGTAGTTTTATCCCGCTGAAAGCTCACTGTGACATTTCAAGGTATTTGAGGAGCTTAAAGTAAATAGGATGGTAAATGAGGCAGTACTTAGTGTATCAGTGGAGATCTTGTCAGCAGTTTTGAATGGAGAGACAGGAAATGTAAATATCTCATTCACAGCTACAGAATGGACGTTCAGACCCACCTTCCTTTATGATCGGTTTAACGCACATTTTTGAGAAGCTACATTTCATAAAGAGTAGTTAGTGTTTATGTAAGCTTTTTATAAATGTATTTGATTTTTTTTTTTCTCCTTTATTTACAGATCTCGGCACCAGCTGAGCGCCTATACTCTGTTTGGATTGGAGGATCCATTCTGGCATCATTGGACACCTTTAAACGCATGTGGGTCAGCAAGCGTGAATACGAAGAGGAAGGTGCACGAGCTGTTCATCGGAAAACTTTCTAGATATGCATAGGTTGTAAAATATTCCTGGTATTCAGGTAGAGAGTATATATTATGTTTGTTTCACAGAAATTAAGTGTCCTGTAGCCTTTTTCTGTTAGGACTTCAAGATCACCAGTCCCCCTTCCCCCCCAAGCTTTTTGTAGCTGAACGAAATAAAAAGGAGAAATAGGCTAGCCTGTAATTTCTTTTTTCTTCTCTATATTTTGAGTGATTAGAATACAGTGAAGTTTAAATTTGAAGAAAATAGTAATAATTAATAAGCGAACAGTGGTTTATTTGATCTACTGTAAAGATGAATTACATGTAAAGAGAAAAGGTGCTGAGCAATTCATCACAAGCTTTAGGAATATTTATCATCAATACATTTGTAGTGTAATATTCAAAATACTTTTGGATATTTTTTATGAATGCCCCTCCCCAACAGATCATGAGAGGAAGACCCATTTTAAAGCATTTTTAGTGAATGTACATTTCTTTGCCTTTTAAATAAGTCGCTGAATTTTACTAGCTTTGCACCAGTGTGAATGGCAGTCTCTTATGTGTCGTTTTTATTAATATTTGATCGTAGGAAAGGGCTACACTGAATCACTACATTGGCTTTTTTTTGTTTTATTTTCATTATTAGTGTGTGGGTTTTTTATCAATTATTTTTTCATTGTTGTAAATAGTACTCTAGGTTATGTGGTTACATTTTTTGGTCAAAGCAAGTTAAGAAGTAATTATTAGTTGCAGAGACAGCTACATAACTGAATGAGAAAGGATTTTTCAAAGTTTTTATTATTATTATTATTATTATTATTATTATTATTATTATTATTATTAATTACCATTATTTATCATCACGTGCAGCTTCTTCGGTCACCATTTAACAAGTCACGCATGTATGGATATTTCCAAAGAGACCGTTTGTAATGATTAGGCCAATCACCGCATCTGTAATGATATGTATGGGATGATGTGGTTTGCAAGATGGTCCATCAGTTATATAAAGTGCTTTAAAATAGGTCAAATTTTGGACTTGTACTTACTAAGCACATCATCAAATACCTTATGGTAGAAATTGTTATTGTAATAATTTATTGTCATAAGTGTTATATATATGTTTATACTAAAATCATTAGCAGTTAACATTTTGGTACTGAATAAAGACATACTAGAGCAACTATTAGGGTATGGCATTTTTGCAATGCCAGAAGTCCTCTCCAACTGTTTTTAGTTGTGTGTCACACGGAGTAGGGCTTCTTTGTAAACAAGCTGTGAATAAGGCAGTCAGCTATGTTATAACCACAGTAAATTATTCAATACTTTTATTTATTGCTTCTGTGCCTTCATAATAAGATTTACATTCATTGCTTATGTGAAACCAAAGCAACATATTTCCTTGCACAGACTTCATTTTCCAAATAAAAAAAAGGAAGAAAAAAAGCCTTGGTGATTGCTATGCCTTATGTGTTACTGGTAACACCTTACTGTGTTATTGCTTCATATCTTATGTAGGTCTAAATACCACTTGCAGGTGTAAGTAGTTCTTGTGAGGTGGTTTTCACCTTTACCGGTTGTTTAAATTCTTAGGGCTTTCTCCATGTTTTCCTAAGCTCTTTGTATGGTGAAAAGGCAGCAGCTTTGGGCACAGTTTCTGCCTTGTTACAAATTTTGCTTTTGTCCATTTTGTTTTGTAATGAATCAAAGTAGCTTTAACTAGATTTTCACTTTTTTTACTTTATTACACCCTTATTTATTTCTCGTATGAATTGATAAAGGGAGTTGTTTTAGCACTGAGTTGATATTGTAAAAAATGTCTTGTCAGTGGAAAGTGCGAAGTTTGGAATCAAGAAGGATTGTTAGTATTTTGCCCCAAAGCACAATACTCTTATTCTGAGATCTAGTGATCCTTATTGTTCCAAATTTGATATTGATGAACTTCATACTTCATGCTGAAACTGTGAATTAAACATTTCCAATATTTCAAGATTATTTTGTATCTATAATGAAGTCGATAATCACTAACTGGTGTCCTTTCATTGTCCATTCTTTTTTGCATGTGTTTGATTAAGAATATAGATGTTTGGTTGACGGTTTCCATTAATTAAGGTTGATAAAATGTTATGCTAAGGAATGGCAATGTAACAAAGTAATTTAAAAAGGGTTACCAACGGATGAGCTTTTTTCATTCTGCAGTTGTTGTTTTTTCATTGACATAGAAATATATGGTTCACAGATATGCCTGTGAATATGTGCTGACAGCTAACCCAAAACCACAAGAGAATATCTCGTCATTTCCTTAAATAATTGTGACATAATTACTAATGTCTGGCTTAATCTAGGGCTGGTACAGGTTGCATGAAGAATTGCTTTTGAAAACTTCGACTTCTAAGAATTGTTTAAGAGAACCGTTATTTTTTATTGTTTATTCAATTTTTATATTATTTGAAATAAAAAGCATGAAATTTGATATATTTTATTTCACGATAGAAAATGAGAATACACAAAATAGCAAGTTGTAAATATGATTAATGGAATTAACTTGAGGACTTCCATTTTCCTGGTTTGTAACCAGATTTTTTTTCTTTGTTTTTCATTTTTATTGAATGGTTAAAACTATTTGAAGTTTTTCCTCAAAGCTATAATCATCAGTTGGGTTCTGGAATTTAAGCATACCGAGTTATGAATGTCACCGGCCAAAGAACAGTGCTGGATTTACTACTCGGTAAGTATTGTAAGCACATGGTTATGACAAGAAGAGAAGGTCAGTGCTGCAGACTACTTGATACCATAGATGTTGCCATCCACGAGTAGGAAACTCGGGTGCCATGAAAGGACCTAGACTCCAGTATTCAAAAAGCAGGTTTGTATGATGGGGGCTTTATAGCATTACACTAGTGATTCCCAACCTTTTTTAATATGTGGCCCCTGACCAATATATAACAATCTCAATGGTCCCGTTTAGTAACTGTCATCTTTTTAGATTTAAATAATCACTAGTTAGGAATGGTGTAATGGTGTCAGTAGCTATAGGACAAAAATGCCCAATGAGAAAGAATTATATGTAGGTGAGATAAAATTCAGTTGAATTGATTGTCAAATTTTTCATATTACACCATCCCCCCCCCCCCCCAGAAAGTTGAAATGGCTACATGAAAACTAATAGTCTGCAGAATAGATGGCCAGAACTGAGCATCTTCAAAAAGAGTAATTATTGCAGTGAAAAACCTTGTGTGAATCGTGAATATACAAGGGGCAGCCATTTCGATGACCTTTGTAAGTGAAAAGTTAGGTCTCCAGTGCATATCATATTATATTAATATAATTTTTTTCGTTTCACCCCTCCATGTATACAATGCATATATACCTACATAGTGTTACATGACCTTTGTTAAATCGTTTACCATCGCATACATTTTACACACGCACACAAACACAGAGAAGTATACAGATATATATACATGTATATATGTGAGTGGGTGTGGGGTGTGTTTTCTCTGTGAATTTCGATCATTTGTAGTGACTAAAGAGTAACTGGCAACTCATTAATCTTCCCCCCTTTGAAATAAAACATACATTTTACATTTCTAGAGAATCATATCTTCTGATTATGATAAAAGAAAAGGATCTGCAGAAATTTTCTTATTGTGTCAATAATTTGATTATTTTGAAGAAATGACGAAACAATAAGAAACAACACGTTTTCGCTCACCCAAGGGATGGCATCTTGTCAAACTAGTAAACAAATATACGCTTTTGTTCACTCTCAGAAGATGTAAAACGGCAAAACAAATATGATCTAAATGCATTTCACGGACAAGGATTATTTGCTGTTATATTTCTTATGATTTTATAAGGATATATAAGAAATGATTGTCATAGCAAGGTGGTTAACCTTTGCTGACGTCACAAAGTAAAAGCGCGGGAATATTGCAACCGTCGCCCCGCGCTAACCTTTCAAGAGAGGATTCGTCTTCAAAGAAAGGAATAATTATCTAATAGTGAACAGCCATCAATAGATATGACGCGCCTGGAAAGAACGGTCACCCATTTGAACATCTGTAGGCATATACGATACAAAGATAGGGCCATAATGCAAGGGAAAATGAAATATGAGTAATCATGTGCTTTTAAAGTCGGGGATTTTCAGGCCTAGGGAACTGAACAATATTTGTAAGACGCCAGTCTTTACAGTTATACGAGGTTTATAAATTATAGTTTGAATGGTCTTATGGGAATAGATAAGAGATAAGTAAAAAAAAAAAAAAAAAAAAAAAAAAAAACACGCGAAATCAGTAAAATACTCATTTTTGGATTATGCGGCAATCACGTGACACGCACTCAAATTCTTGCAACATTTTAATTTATTCTTTGTGTCAAGAACTCATAGAGACCAGTTTTAAAAATCGACCAATAAGCGTTTTCAGCCTGAGAAGATGCAACGATTTTAGGAACTATTTGAATGTGGAAATCAATGATAAGATATTTATTAGCCAAGAATTTTCGAGGGGGAGGGACAAATTTC